CTACATCAGCACAGGTGTGTAATTGTGTGGCAGCTTAAGTAGCCTTTGCTGTTAATTAGTGTTAAATCTAAACTCTTAAATTAGAAGGATTATTCTCTTCTCTTATGGGTTGCTAGATACTGGTTCTGCTGGGAGAGAAATGTTTTGGTTGTTGGTGGTTTTGAGCCTTGCTATACGGCTATGCTTGGCCACCTTACCTCATAACTATTCAATAAATCTTCTTTTTCTTCTTCGAACAAACTCCCACCTTGTACAAAGTTTGTCTACAGTTGCCATGGCAACACACACACTGGTGTGAAACTCATTATCCTTGATTGATCTAGGGGCAAAGGGAAACAGTTGGGGGGGATGGAGGATGTGGTCCTGGAGGGTGGGGATCTGGTGTTGAGGGAAACGGCAGGGGGTGGGGTTGTCAGTGTAATAGAATGTAGTTCTAAATGAGGGTAATGCTGTCGAGGGTATGGAAATGTTATACTGAAGTGATGTGTGTAGAGGGGGAGGGGGGGGCCCTATAGGTTGGGGGGGGGGGGGGGGAGGTTCTAGGGATGATGGGGGTCTTGGGTAGGCAGGGGGGAGTTTTGGACATAGTTTCTAGGGTGGTGGTGGTGGGGTTGATGGATTAGGGAGGGGGGGGGGGGGCGGGGTCAAGAGGTGGAGGTGGCCGTTAGGGTCGGAGGTTTGTTTGTTGTTTCATGCCGCATTAAGTTATATGGCGGTTTGAAAAATAATCGAGTCTGGACCAGACAATGCAGTGATTGACATCATGAGCATCAATACACACAATTTGGATATGACGACACGTTATCAACCAAGTCACAGTGTTGGACCAACCGATCCATTAAGTCGCTCTTACAACAAGCATAGTGGCCTGTTATGGCAAGCTAGGACCTACTCTAACCCGGATCTTCACGGCTAGTATTATCCATATGCGTAGGTAGCTGGTGACCTACATTCTTCCCCGGAATCCTCCCAATGTAAATGTGTACTGGTTGTCTGATCATCCTATTGTCATCCATCCTGTAGACGTCAGCACGGTCACGTTCCTGCATGTACAGAACGCTGCAACAGATGTTGGTTACTATCTGTATTCTCCACATAGACTGTGCTACTTGAAATATAAACAGCCTCCCATGATTGAATTGTTTGTATATAGGTCAGAACATGTTTTGTTATGTGTGAGATCTTTCTTAAATCCTACAGAGTTAATTGCTGAATCAGCATTATGCAATGCTTGCTCTCTCTCTCTCTCTCTCTCTCTCTCTCTTTCTCTCTCTCTCTCTCTCTCTCTCTCTCTCTGTTTCTCTCTCTGTTTCTCTCTCTCGTCTGAGACCTGCATCACATTTGGCTTTCCTCCCACATTAACTTGAAATAATGTTAAAAGCAGCGTTATACCCAACTCACTCACTCACTCTCTTATGATGTTAAGGACTCTCAAGTCCACTGTTCCATGCCCTGGTGAATACATGTTATTATGAGAATGTTTAACGGAGCAGGCCCAATCCCAAAAGTGAAACATAACCTTTAACACTTTATACCTTAACTTAACTGTACACATTCCTCCTACCTGAAGTAGGTACACACAGGTCTATAAAACACAACAACCTCCCGAGACAGGTAGATAGGCATCTGTGTGACGACGCATGGAGACCAGGTCACCAGGCCACATTCCTGTCACTGCTTGACGGGTTGGTCCTGTTGGTTTACATTGCATAGATGTTCCGGCCCTTGGGTATCATCACTGGCCTCAAGGGTCGATTTAGTATCGCCACCTTGTCTGTCGACCCGTGAAGATCCAGGGTAGAATAGGTCTTCAGCAACCCATGCTGGCCGTAAAAGACGTCTATGCTTGCTGTAAGTGGGGACTAATGGATTGGGTGGTCAGGCTATCTGACTTGGTTGATGCATGTCATCGATCCCAATTGCGTGGATCGATGCTCATGATGTTAATCACTGGATTGTCCGGTCCAGACTCGATTATTTGCAGGCCACTGTCATATAGCTGGAATATTGCTAAATGCGGGGTTAAACAACAAACAAACAAACAAAACCTTGTCAACCAAACTATTTGCTGGTATGCATCTCATGTCAAACATTGGTCAACATTCATGTCAAAATTATGCTAAAAAATAATCGAGTCTGGACCAGACAATGCAGTGATTGACATCAAGAGCATCAATCCATGCAAGTCAGCGAGCCTGAAATCCTGATCCCGTTAGTCGCCTCTTACGACAAGCATAGTCGCTTTTTATGGCAAACACGGGTTGCTGAAGACCTATTGTAACCCGGACAAGCACATGATGAATTTTGATTTCAAACACTGCAAATCAGAATTTCAATTTTTTAACGATAATTTACTTGCAGTTTATTTTTGCCTGCCATCATATTGATTTAATGTGTGGGTATCCAAGCATAAGTTCTATATTAATACATAGTTGAACAGAGCTGACAATGGTAAACACACACGACCGTAAATACATGCTTGATTATTGAGCACTACAGCAGCTGTTAGGTGTTGCTCCATGCATCATTGTGAGGTGTTCTTATGCAGTCACACATACAAATCACACAATAGGTCATTACGAATGGCCACACAATGTAGCATGCTAAAGTATAGTAATGTGTTCGTCATGCATGTTACACAGGGATGATTAGTGTCGTTTTTAATAATCCGTAAAATCTGCCAGAATCATAAAATTTTGAACCAAATTCTGCCAATATGATTAAGTGAAATTTGTAACATTTTTGGCCAAATGCATTTCCTGTAATTTAAACTTTAAATGTCATTAAACAACTCGCACTTGCACTCAATCACCCACCCACCCACCAACACACTCACCCACCGACTCACTCACTCACTCACTCACTCACTCACTCACTCACTCACTCACTCACTCACTCACTCACTCACCTAAACACCCACTCACCCACAAAAACAATACAAATGACTACAACAAGCCCTGACAGAGAGCCAGCTGGCGCTGGTGTTTTAGCTTTGGTGCTAGACAGGCCTGTATTGTACCGAAACATGCATGACATTGCTCCCTTCCTGATTGTCAAGGTCAAAGGAGTTGTAAACACAAAATGGCTATAAATAATATACATCTGCAGTGCTGGGAGACATCACAAGCATTTCCTTCTGTTGCTTTTTGCGCAGTCGACTTCATGTTATAGTTGACAATTTTTTAGGAGTCTCTAAAATAACAAGATTAGCAGCATGTTGTGTCATGTTAGCCTGTGATGGAAATTCTTCCTGCACTTCCTTTTTCCTAGTACACAGTTAATGCTTGTGTTCATATTGCTATTCTCGTTCCTCTTCTTACGCATATGTGCGTTTAGGTACATGAGTATATGTGTTAATAATCTCTCCATTATGTGCGTATTTGACCTTGTCATTAATACATAATACCACAAAAACCCATTGGGATTCCTGGTTAGATTAGGGTCGCAATCCATGCTTGTCGTAAGAGGTGACTTAATGGATCGGGTAGCCAGGCTCAGAGACTTGGTTGATTTCCTGTCATCGTATCACGACGACGTGATCATTGCTCATAGTATCAATCACTGGATTGTCTGGTCCAGACCTGATTATTTACAGGCGGTCGTTATATAGTTGAAATATTGCAGAGTGCAGCATTAAACAGCAAACAAACAAACAAATAAGTATAAAATAGAACCCAAATGAAGTCAACATAGACAATTGCTTTGTACTTTTTATGCACTTTTTTTGTGAACCAACAACAGAAAGAATTTGTGTAACTCTTTTTCAAACGACATACAAGATTGATTTCTTATGATCAAGATAAGCATGCATATCAGCTACTTAGGGGGTACAAAGGAATGGCTCATCTATTGACCATTCTGTTTGCCTCCGCCTGTTCTCAATGTGTGTTTTCCATAGGAAGATGGCATATTACTTTATAAGGCTCACAATTGTGAACAAGCAATTACAAAAGATAAGATATCGAACTGCAGTTGGGAATGCGGCCGCAACTTCTTGTTCAAACACTTAAATGCAATATATTGATGTTGTTCATTAAATATTCACCATTTCCAATTCTACAATGATTCAAAATGAAAGGTTTTTTTCGGTGTTCAGGAGGAAGGGCAGATGTAGCATATTTCTGAAATTGGATTTGAAAGCTTTTTCCGTTGATCAATTACAATTGGCTTGAGAGAACGAGGAAAGTAGCTACACAGGAAATGGTTATTTTACAAACATCACCATTGTGGGTCACACATGACTGACTGCTAAATGAATTTGTAATAAGTTCTCAAGTTTTGTAAGACCAAGATAAAACAATATTAATTATGACTGATGATAGAATTGAAGGGGCACAAGGTCTAGGCGAAATGGCAGTTCCTGTAGGTTTGATTCAAGCCTGTGAGAATACTACTTTTTCATGAATATGAAAGTAGAAATTAATAATTCTCACTCACTCACTCACTCACTCACTCACTCACTCACTCACTCACTCACTCACTCACTTTGTTGATTGGCTGATGGTGTTGTTCTTAGTATCGATGCCCTGATTGTCTGATCGATAGTTACATGTATTTACCGGCCACTACCATAGAGCTGGAAATTTACTGAGAGGGACCCAGTGATACACACACAGACACACACACATAGGCACACGCACACACACACACACAGAGACACAAACAGGCACGCGCACACACACAAACACAGAGACACAAACAGGCGCGCGCACACACACACACACACACGGACACACACACGCAGACACACACACACACACACACACAAACAGGCACACACAAACAGGCACACACACAGGCACACACAAACAGGCACACACACAGGCACACACACAGAGAGAGACACTATAATAAGGATAGAAATGGTCTTTTGTTATTCCCCCTGCATATAATGCGAGGGGGTAGTCATCTTGTCTGTCTGTCCATCCATATTTAATTTCTGGAGCATAACTTGAAATCCATAACTTGCAAATCTGACCGTTTGTGTTTTGTCCTTGCAGTAGAGCAGGAAGAGGAGGAGCATGGAACAGATTCAAGTGTGGAGGAAGCTGCTGGTTGGATTGATGGTCTGGCCATCTTGGTGGCAGTGGCTGTGGTAGTGTTAGTGACAGCTTTCAATGACTGGAGCAAGGAGAAACAGTTCCGTGGACTTCAGAACAAGATAGAGCATGAACATCGCTTTGCCACAATCCGTGCGGGAGAGTTGGAACAGATTTCTGTAGGAGATTTAGTAGTGGGAGATATTTGTCAAGTAAAATATGGTAAGTTGTCCTCATAGGTTGAGCAACGTTTGTGGATTTTACCAACAGGCGGAATTTCTTTTGGAAGAGATTTTTCTTTCATGGAGTAGTTTGTTTGTGTTTGTTTTGTGTTTTCCAGCTTTTGGGGAATTATTGTAAATATGTCGACGCTGAAAAATGACGATTCATTGAGTGGCCTCTGGTTTACAGTCAGTGGGATTTACCTGGATTAACACATGCTGATATCACCCAGTTCTTCAGAAACAAGTCCATCAACGTCATTTACAGCAATTGGACATCTTTAGGAATTGAAGAGTTGTCTCCCTTGACATACGAAGCTTCTGCCCTGATGTACGGCTGTTGATGCCTGCTTGATAGTCCAGTGCAATCTTGAACACAGTCTAATGGATATCTAACAGAATTCTATCTTGACAATGGATTAGTCTTTCCTCATTTCCATAATCCATCATATCCATGGCCATCGTGGCTATTTTTTATTCTGTAGGTTAACGACGGGCAGATGTATTGATGTGCAAGTTGGCAGTGTCAGCTCTTTGAGTGAGGGGGGGCACGGGTGGCCCAGTCGTCTAAGGCGCCGCGATTCGCTGTGCAGAGTTGTGTCCCTCAGGCACGCCAGAAACCTATGATTGTGGGTTCGAATCCGGGTTCGCCCCGATTATGTTTCTAGGTTTGTCAGCACGATACCTGTCTTTCCTCCCACATTAAGCTGACACGCCGTGATATAACTGGAATACTGTTAAAAGCGGGCTAAACCCAACTCACTCACTCACTCTTTGAGTGAGCTTACCCAGTTGGATGAATCGATATGTTCCCACTTGCTGCTTGATCTGTACACTTCTCTCCCCTCATCATCACCACCCCGCCGGAAGGCCGATGCAAATTTAATCACTTTCCATGAGTGGGATGTGGGCTGTTGTCAAACTACAAGCGACATCAGTTGTCAATCAAAACCCGAGCCGTTTTGGTCGTTCTGTTCGGGGAGGTTTGGAAACGTGTATGGTGCTCCCCCTGGACAGAAAGAGGAGCAGATGATATTAAAGGAATGACTTAACCACCTTCCATGTTAGCCGAGAATGCGTCAATGCCGTACTATCCAGCCAGCGCACTGATCCATACTGAGATAGCCGGCTATTCCCTCCTGGTCCAAGTCGGCTATAATTAAAGCCTTCTTGCACATTTGCCCTTCACAAAGTAAAAGCTTTCATTATATAGGCAGCTGGCACATGCATACCAATTCCAAGCTTAGGTGCGAAGAATACAGATTTATTTACCAGAGTTACGTGGGGTATAATAAGCTTAAACATCACCATTACCCTCCAGTCTCTGGAGAAATTCCTATAAACAGGATTGGAAAGTACATTAATTCTTAGAGAAACTGCACTTGTTGCTTGGTTGAAAAAGCATTGACAAATATATAGTGGACACTTAATTCATCTTACAGGCTGCCTGCACGAGAGACAGTTATTTACAAGGACTTTGCCTGACGTTAGTAATGCCTGTATGTTGCTAAACAGGTCATGAGTGATCGGAATTGTCGGCCCCGTAATCATACTGGAGATTTAGCTTAGATCAATATTTTATATTCTGTCCTGGTGGTTGGCAAGACAGGCTAGGATGGTTGATTCCTTGTCGACTCTAAGAAACCTCATGGGTTATTCATCAAGATAATGCCAAGCTTGGATGTAACTGTCCCAGGACCAGATTAATGGAAACATGGAGGCCTGAGCCCAGGGGAGAGCAGGTTAGGGTGGGGGAGAATCGGGTGACGGCAGGGGGAGGGGGGCAGGGGGCAGTTAGTGTGGGGGAGAATCGGGGGGGAGGGGGTGGGGAGAGAATTGGGTGAAGGCAGGAGGGTTATGGGGACCCTTAGGGTTGGGGAGAATTGGTTGACGCAAGGGGGGGGGGGGGGGGGGGGGGTTGAGGGGGTGATGGCTGGGGGGGGGGGGGGGGGGGAGAATGGGGTGTAGGCCGGAGGGTTATCGGGACCCTTAGGATTGGCAGTGAAAGGCAGTGGTGTTTCTAAGACACAGAATTTTGGGATTTCCGCATTTGCAAGACGTCTTTGCGGCCAAACCTGTCAATACCTTTTTAATTTCAATACAGAAAGGTCTTAACTGTGTTGAAACAAGGAATTGAAAATGTGGTTCATTTGATTGGTTTTCATATTGTAGCGGTCCAATCGTGATTGTCATAGCAATACCTGAGCTTTTTCACTTACAAACCTTCTGACAGTCCAATTGTGCCTCTAGCCCAATCACAATTTACGTACTACAATCATCTGTTTTGCAAGTTTTCTGCGATGCCTACATGTCATGTGTGTTTTTAAATATTACTTATACGGATGTTTACTGCAGGTGTTTCGTATATATGATATTGTTCAAGTTATGGAACAAACTCGGTTAGACTTCAAGTTTTCCAAAGAAAACAGTAAATCTTGTTCAGCCAAAGATACATGGCAAGCCGCAGCAGACGACAGTCACATGTCGTCTGATTCTAGTGACAGTGATTCCAATAATGCGCAATCTCATTAAAATCAGATCTTAGTTCTCGCTATCGCTAAACAAAGATCTGAGGACATCCCATTAAGTGTCACGTCAGAACGACCTTTCATCCAACCAATCAGAGCGTCGCTTACCAGATCATGAAAGTGACAGTCGGAATGTGTTTTCTGATCATGCAACCACGAAATATTTAACACGGGGTATTCCGAACGACAGTTACTGGTTTTATGATTATATCCATACAATCTAGGCAATAAAAAAGCCATTTCAGAATGTTCTTCTTATCAGTTTTAATATTTTAATCGAGAATACGTCAAAATATGTTTCGAAACGTAGTCGCCAGTTTGAAACTAGTGTCCTAAAGCTCGAGAAAGCTGCCTTCTGATTGGCCAATGTCGATTCTTGTCTGTCATTTCATTGGTCGGTCAAAATTAACGAAAGGTCGTTCTGACGTGACCCCTAATGGGATGTCCTCAGATCTTTGTTTAGAGGTAGCGAAAACTAAGATCTGATTTTAATGAGATTGAATAATGCTGCTCATGGTCCGAAACCGAGTAAAAAAAGAAAAGAAAAGAAATTATTCCAAAAGTCATGGCTTCGTTATGCCCGTGGACTGAAAGACTGAAAAGGGATGCTTTGTGCCGTCTGTACTGTCCACAAAAGAAAAAACACATTTACTGGGGGATGCATCAAGAACTTTGAATTGTTGTGTGAAATCGTCTGACCACGTGGAATCGGTTTGCGTTGAAACTTTGAAGAAACAACAGCAGGTATGTAATTTTTTAGAACATTTAATATCTGTCTAGTCAAAGGGCAAGTGCAATTTCATTAGGTTGAGTCAATTCATTTCAAACTTGCTCTTACTCTTTCCCTAACAATCTTTCAAATTGAATTGAAATAAATAATGTGGCAACATGTTACATAGAATAAAAGAAGATGTTATCGTTAAAAAATGTCATGTATTAATATAGCAACGGTAAATAATAGGCAAATCAGTAATGTTAGAATCCTTTTTTCAGTTCTTCTTGGTAATGTATGTCCAAAGTGTGTTGGTGTATTCAACTTATTATTAATATTGTTGTTATTTTTGTTATCATTCATAATTATTATTACATGTTATTTTGGTTATGGATTATCGTAATTACAATATTAGACTCTAGTTATTATACTTATCCAGTTTATGAAACTTGCACATTTTTATTTTTATTAAAGTTAGTAAAACTTCATTCAGTAGGTGACTATTGTCCTGCCTACCGTTTAGCATATTCATAATTTGATAATTAATGGTTGCCATGATGCTAATCAGCACAACTAACATTGTTTTCGGTACATTCTATTCCAGGCTGCAGATGAGGGCGTAGGGAGGAACACATGTGATGAATGTGTGATTACAGCTCGGAGGTCTTTGTTTTTGATGACCAAAGTGGACATACCAATAAAGAATAAAGAAGTAGACAAGTTTTGTGGAACTTCAATCATTGCAGGAATGTGGTTCTATTAAAAAATTAGCAGGTGCGAAAATGCTACTTACACTTCAAGATGGACAGGAGAGGCATTTCAGCGTGTTTGGCAGATGCTGTTCCTGGAGATATATGAAGCAAGATTAGCGATTCTGACTTATTCTCTCTATTTTTGTGGATGGGAGTAGAGATATTTCTGTGTAAGAAGATGGTGGTGTATGCTTGTACAGTGGATCGTTCCAAACTCCCGCTGTGATATTGCTGAATATTGCTAAAAGCAGCATAAAAACTATGCTCACTCACTCCCATTCACCCTACAAACATTACCATTGTGGATTCTAAGTAAGATCCAGAATAGGTCTTCAGCAACCATTGCTTGGCTTAAAAGGCGACTATGCTTGTCGTAAGAGGCGACTAAAAGGATCTGGTGGTCAAGCTCGCTGACTTGGTTGATGCATGTCATCGTATCCCAATTGCGTGGATCGATGCTCATGATGTCAATCACTTGATTGTCTGGTCCAGACTCGGTTATTTACAGACCGCCGTCATACAGCTGGAATATTGCTGAGTGCGGCGTTAAACAACAAACAATGCCATAGAAAAGTGTTTGAGAGAGTGAGGCTTGGATATCAGTAAAGTCAAGTGTGGATCAGTTTGAGCCTCTGTGATGGTTGGAAGACACCATGGCACTACAAGAGTCTAGGATGAGTCCCCCCCCCCCCCCCCTCATTGTGTTCACATCCACTGTATGGCACATTGATTCAACCTTGCGACGTCCCGAACTTCCAAGAACATATTGTTTTTGAAGGACTTTGAGAAGATTCTGAATGACCTGTACTACAACAAATCTGGAAACAGAAAATGTGAATTGGAAGAAATACAAAGAAACCTGTCATGAAAGAAGGTGGATTGCTTTCTATGAGACTGTCAAAGCTGTGTATAAGTGCTGGGCCTCTTGGTGACTTACTGCAAGAGACATGATGATTCAATGTCAAACGTTTTCACAAAGAAGCTTGCTGACGACATGTTTGTGTTTGTT